TGGGCATGGCGGAGGTCCTGGCTGGGTGGCAGGGAGGCCTCTGCAAGGCAGGCTGGGGTGGATTGAGCTCTCCTTGGGTCACAAGACTCCAGATGTGGCCTCCCCAGTGCAAAACAGAGGGGAAAAATCACTTCCTTCGATTTGGCAGTGCTCCTACCAATGCAGCCTTCTTGGCAACACGGGCGCGCTGATGGCTGCCACGTTTCTCTCCCTAGATGTTGGCGGCCCGGCAGATCCCATCGCCCCCACCATCATCATCCCGCCCCGCAACACCAGCGTGGTGGCCGGCACCTCGGAGGTGACCATGGAGTGCGTGGCCAATGCCAGGTGGGTACCTGCAGCCCGAGGACTGGCACGGGCCAAGTTGGGGAAGTGGGGAGAAGCCACCGCCGGGGCTCGTTGGGGATGGGCTCTGACCCCTGCTCTGCGCCAGGCCGCTGATCAAGCTGCACATCGTGTGGAAGAAGGACGGGGCGGTGGTGTCCAGCAGCATCAGCGACTACAACCGGCGCCTCACCATCCTCAACCCCGCGCTGAGCGACAGCGGCTACTACGAGTGCGAGGCCGTGCTGCGCAGCAGCAGCGTGCCCTCCATCTCCCGCGGCGCCTACCTCTCCGTGCTGGGTAAGGAGGCTGGGCATCTGCGGCACGAGCGTAACGAGCGCGCAGGGGTCTCAGCCCGGTCGCCCGGGCACAAAGCCCTCTCGCCCCGATCCGCCTCGGCGCGGGGCTGGGCTAGAGCAGAGCTGGGCATCTCGGGGCCCATTTCCGGGCTTCCCCTTGCAGAGCCGCCGCAGTTTGTCAAGGAGCCGGAGAAGCACGTGACGGCCGAGATGGAGACGGTGGTGGTCATCCCCTGCCAGGCCAGAGGTGGGTGCTGTCCCAGCCCTGCCTGCTGCCCAGCGCTGCCTCTGCCCACGGCTCATGGTGTCTCTTGGTTGGGGGGGTTGCAGGCGTCCCGCCGCCCGCCATGGCCTGGTACAAGGACGCGGCCCCCATCCACCTGGAGAAGCTGTCGCGCTTCCGGCTGCAGCCCGACGGGAGCCTGCAGATCAGCGGGCTGGTCCCCGATGACACCGGCATGTTCCAGTGCTTCGCCCACAACGACGCCGGCGAGGTCCAGACCTCCACGTACCTGGCCGTGACCAGTAGGTTCCAGCCCTCCCATAGCCCCTGCCCCGTGGGGGGGCTGGGAGAGCAAGCCTGGTGTGGGGAGGAAGGGGGCACCTCCTGCTCCTTTGCCCGGGTGCAGCTGGGCAGGGGCTGGCCTTCAGACCCCCCCCCCATGTCTGCCCGGGCAGGTATTGCCCCCAACATCACGCGGGGGCCGCAGGACAGCACGGTGATCGACGGCATGTCTGCAGTCCTCACCTGCGAGACCTCGGGGGCGCCGCGCCCCGCCATCACCTGGCAGAAAGGTACGGGCAGGGGGGCCAAAGGGAGCGGGGCCTGGGGGACGGGGGCAGCAACGCCCTGGGGCCTGGCTGACGGCTCCCCTCCATCCCCGTGCCCGCAGGCGAGCGGATCCTGGCCAGCGGGTCGGTGCAGCTGCCACGCTTCACGCTGCTGGAGTCGGGCAGCCTGCTCATCAGCCCCACGCACATCGCTGACGTGGGCAGCTACACCTGCCTGGCCACCAATTCCCGCGGCGTGGACGAGGCCTCGGCTGACCTGGTCGTCTGGGGTAAGGCGCCTCCTGCTCCCCGGCCCGCAGCCCTGGGCGCGTGAGCCCCGGTGACCCACTGCATGTCTGTCCGCCCCGCAGCCCGGACACGCATCACAGCCCCGCCGCAGGACCAGAGCGTCATCAAGGGCACCAAGGCCTCCCTGAGCTGCGGCGTGACCCACGACCCCAGTGTGACCATCAGGTATGGAGCCCGGCCCTGCCCCAAGGGGTGGCAGGCGGGAGGGCACGTGCCCCTTCCTCCTGAGCAGGGCGACGGGCGTCTGGGTCCCAGGTGAAGAGCCCGGTCCCACAGGAGCTCCCTCAGCCATCCATGGTTGCACGCACACACATGCACACACCCCTGAGCCTTGGCAAATCAAGCCTGCACTGCCACCTGGCGCCCAACCCAGGCATGGCACTGCCCACACCCATGAGTTGCACACACACGGGCGTGCGTGCACACACACACGCATCCACGTGGAGGAGAGTTGGGTGGAGTGGTTGCAGCAGGATACAGGGAGCCAGGACCCCTGGGCTCTGTCCCCTTTTGGGGAGGGGGACAGCATCCAGTGGACACTTGTCGGGGCGTCAGGGCTCCTGGGTTCCAGCTGTGCCCCGTCCCCACGCAGGCACATCTGGGAGAAGGACGGGGCGCCCGTCAGCGTGGACAGCGTCCCACGGGTCCGGCTGGATGGAGACGGCACCCTGCACATCTCCCAGACCTGGTCGGGCGACATCGGCACCTACACCTGCAAGGTCGTCTCCGTCGGGGGCAACGACTCCCGCAGCGCCCACCTCCGCGTCCGGTAAGGGCGCCATGCTCCCCACACGCCCCCCTGCCCCTACCCTACCCTACCTTTGTTTCTAAGGTGGGCATCGCCTCTCCCTCCAGGCAGCTCCCCCATGCCCCGGAAAGCCCCGTGGCTCTGCTTAGCCCGCTGGAGAAACGGGCCATCAACCTGACCTGGGCCAAGCCCTTTGACGGGAACAGCCCCCTGCTGCACTACGTGCTGGAGGTCTCCGAGAACAGTAAGGCACCTGGCACCCCCACCTCACCCCCGCACCGGAGCCTTGTCTATACCAAGGCAGCTAGGGCCGGGTGGGTGGGCAGTACACGTGCAAGTGGCCCTGGGGGGACGTGCCTGGGAGACTGGCCGAGCCCCCTGCTTCAGCCCTGCCCCTCGGCCCCGCAGATGCCCCCTGGACCATTCTGCTGCCCAGCGTGGACCCCGAAGCCACCTCAGTGGTGGTGCGGGGCCTGGTCCCCGCTCGCTCCTACCAGTTCCGCCTCTGCGCCATCAACGACGTGGGCAAGGGCCAGTTCAGCAAGGACACGGAGCGGTGAGTCCGGCGGAGGGGGCCGGCGGCAGGCCACGCTGGGGCTCTCCCACTCCACGTCCTTACCCGCCGTGTCCCCGCAGGGTGTCTCTGCCGGAAGAGCCGCCCTCGGCGCCCCCCCAGAACGTCATCGCCAGTGGCCGGACCAACCAGTCCATCATGATCCAGTGGCAGCCGCCCCCCGAGAGCCACCAGAACGGCCTCCTGAAGGGCTACATCATCCGGTAGGCGGCTTGTGGGGGAGAGAAGAGGTTGGGGAGCCTGTCCTCCCCACCGAGAGGGGGTCATGGGGTTCCCCTGATGCCCGCTCACCTGCTTGCTCCCCTGCCCCAGGTACTGCCTGGCCGGGCTGCCCGTCGGGTACCAGTTCAAGAACATCACCAACGCCGACGTCAACAACCTGCTGCTGGAAGACCTCATCATCTGGACCAACTACGAGATCGAGGTGGCGGCGTACAACAGCGCCGGCCTGGGCGTCTACAGCATGAAGGTGACCGAGTGGACGCTGCAGGGAGGTAGGCAGGGCTGGGGGGCGCAGCTGGGCAGGGTCCCTATGGCCCCCATCCTGCTGGGGGTTGCAGATACGTTTCTCTGCGTCCTGAATCAGCCCCGTGGCTGCCCTCGTCTCCCGCAGTGCCTACCGTGCCCCCCGGGAACGTGCAAGCCGAGGCCACCAACTCCACCACCATCCGCTTCACCTGGCACCCGCCCAGCCCCCAGTTCATCAACGGCATCAACCAGGGGTACAAGGTGAGGGCAGCCTGGCTCCACACACCCCCTCTCCCTGCCGTCAGCTCCGCCATGAACCAGCTCAACTTTGCTCCGGTTAAAAAGGAGCTGTGGCTTCGATTGACTGGTGCCCGGCTATTAGAATAATATTTACCAAGATTTAACGCGTCCACGGGAGCCTATGCTCCGTAATTAATTCCAAATCGTAATTAATTCCAATTTACATTAATTAAATTGAATTAAAAACATTAAACTTGTTTCTTAATCCACTCAAAAGAAGTTCAGGGATGTAATTGCCACGGAACAAGATAACCAGAGTAAGTAGGATATTTAACATTCTTATTAAATGTCACTTAGTATTTTTGATTAGTATTTTTAGGGCCTAATTAGATACTAATTAACTTGCTATAGGCGATCCTGCACAATGCCAATTAATGCCCAAACATCTTTCTAAATGGAGTGCAGAGCCCGCGATTATGCATTGTTATCAGCGGGAGTTAATCACAAGGCGTGCGCTGTATATTGTTTCGTATGGATAAATACCCGTGCTTATTAAAACGCATCGAGCGTTTCTCTCCCTCGTTAATTGATATTTAATCAACTTCGAATAAATGAGAGGCTCCGAATGAAAGCTTTTAATTTGGAGATGCTATCAAGGACTTCCATTTGCTTTGAGAGAAGCATGGGGAGGACGCCCTGTCCCCGGAGGGGATCCACGGTCCCTCGGGGACAGTCGGCCTGGCAAGTCCGTGGGGTGCCTCCGAGGTGAGCGGGCACAAGTCTGCCGAGCTTGCAAAGCAAAATTATTAGCAGTGCCGAGGCCGGGAGCTCTCCGGGGCAGGGATCAGCTGCATTCGTGCAGCGCCGTGCACGGCAGGATCCTCCCAGGATCCACCCCCGCGATGCCATGAGAAGGAGCGATTCAGATGCCCGCTTTACATTTTGCCCTCTGTGCTCAGAAGCTCAGGACCTCGCCCCCGCCGGGTGCTGGGGGTGCGGAGGCCGTGATGCTCGTGTCCCCCCGCAGCTGATCGCGTGGGAGCCGGAGCAGGAGGAGGAGGCGACGGTGGTGACGGTGCGGCCCAACTTCCAGGACAGCATCCACGTGGGCTACGTGGCGGGGCTGAAGAAGTTCGCCGAGTACTTCACCTCGGTGCTGTGCTTCACCACGCCAGGCGACGGCCCGCGCAGCCCGCCTCAGCTGGTGCGCACGCACGAGGATGGTACGTGGAGCCCTGTGGTCCTCGCGAGTCCCCGGGTCTCCACGGGAGCCCGGTCTATTCCCCCGGCCTCCGGGGATGGGGGGACACACACCCCGCTCAGGCCTCTGGTTCAGCAGAGGGGATGCTGGCCTGGCTCCAGGTCCCCACAGTGGGCTTGGTGCTAACTCTTGGGGTTTTTTGGGCAGTGCCTGGCCCCGTGGGGCACCTCAGCTTCAGCGACATCCTGGACACGTCCCTGAAAGTCAGCTGGCAGGAGCCCGTGGAGAAGAACGGCATCCTGACGGGTGAGGAGGCCGAGAGCCGAAATCCCCCCAAGCCCCTCATCTGGACCCAGTGCTCCGGTATGGGGAGGGGGCAGCGCGGTGCTGCTGCGTGCATGCAGAATGCAACCCGGTCCTGTCTGCTCGGCCGGGGACATTCCTGCTGCAGGGTCTCTGCATGGCACCGCATGAGTTGCAAGCCACGTGATGGCCCGTGGAGGCTGGCATGGCCGTGGACACAGGCGTGACTGTGCCGGTGTTCCCCAGGCTACCGCATCTCCTGGGAGGAGTACAACCGCACCAACACGCGGGTGACGCACTACCTGCCCAACGTCACCCTGGAGTACCGTGTCACCGGCCTCACCGCCCTAACCACCTACACCATCGAGGTGGCCGCCATGACGTCCAAGGGGCAAGGGCAGGTGTCCTCCTCCACCATCTCCTCCGGGGTCCCTCCAGGTAGGCCCCTGACCCTCTCCGGGTGCCCAGGCCTGTATTAGCCCACCACCCTGGCTTGCTTGAGGGCTGCGTTAGTCCAACCCAGTCATTTCCTTGCCATGTTTTTTCCAAGCCCCTTGATGTCCACAGTGGCAGCAAAGACACCGCTCCACCCAACGCCGTGTCGGTCCCCTGCCCCCTGTGCTGTTATACTCAGGCAGGGAAACTCCCCAGAGCTGTCCTGAATCACCTATGGGACAGCAAAGCCGAACGCGGCACCTGGTCTCTGCAGCCAGCACCCAGCCCTATCGCTTTTATTCCCCTCCTTGCCCCTTTGCAGAGCTGCCCGGTGCACCCACCAACCTGGGCATCTCCAACATCAGCCCGCGCTCCGTGACCTTGCAGTTCAGGCCCGGCTATGATGGGAAGACATCCATCTCCCGCTGGCAGGTGGAAGCACAGGTAACAGGGCTGAAAGCTGCCCGTGGAGGGGGTCCGTGCCCTGGATTTTGGGTGCGGGACGGTCTCTGTTTCAGCCACCTGGGGTGGGAGGATGATGGCAACCGACGGAGGCTGAGCATCGCCCCGTCTCCATGTCTCGCGGCCCCGGGGCTTTCGCCACAGGTGGGGCAGGTCGGCGAGAGCGAGGAGTGGGTGCTGGTTCACCAGCTGGCCAACGAGCCCGATTCCCGCTCCATGGAGGTGCCCGGCCTCAACCCGTACACGTACTACAGGTAGGGGCCAGGGTGCGGGCCCAGGGCAAGGTAGCCTGGACAGGGGGCTCCTCTGCTGCATCCTAGGAGGTAGAGGTGGGTGGGTGCAAGGGGCTGGCACATCTCAGAGCTGTGAGCTCCTGCTAAGGGGGACCTTAAGGGTTTAACCCCTCCCCAGATGCAGCCCAGGCATCCTTCATGCCAGGGTCGCCCCCCCCTCCCCCCAGCTCCCTACTCACCCGTGACCCCGGTGCTCTGCTCCCAGTTTCCGCATGCGGCAGGTGAACATCGTGGGCACCAGCCCACCCAGCCTGCCCTCCCGTCGCATCCAGACCTTGCAGGCCCCCCCAGACGTGGCGCCCGCCAACGTCACCCTGCGCACGGCCAGCGAGACCAGCCTGTGGCTGCGCTGGATGGTGAGTGACTGCCAGGGCCCCGGGACGTGGGTGTTGGCTTGGAGCGGGCACAAGTAGCCTAGGGACCGTCGGCATCACTGATGGGTCAGGCCTGTGCTGCATGCACATGTGTGGGTGTGCATGCATGGCTGAGTATCCCCACCTGTGTGCACCCGTTCATGTATGTGTAGAGGCGTGCATGTGATGTGCGTGCCCATGAGGGGTCCTTGCACTTGCACACACAGGGGCATGACTGTGCAGCTTAGGGGGGAGTTGTCCCGGGGGCAGCTATGCCAGGGTCCTGGGGATGCACTGAGGCCTCCCTCTGCCCCTGCCAGCCCCTCCCCGAGCAGGAGTACAACGGGAGCCCGGAGTCGGTGGGGTACCGGGTGCGGTATGCACGCTCGGACGGGCAGGGGCGCACGGCGCTGCACGCCATCCACGACCGGGTGGAGCGGGAGTTCACCATTGAGGACCTGGAGGAGTGGACTGAGTACCAGGTGCAGGTGCAGGCCTTCAATGCCATCGGGGCCGGGCCCTGGAGCCGCATCGTGGCAGGGCGCACCCGGGAGTCAGGTACCGTCCCTGCCGCTTGCCCCCCGCCCCACGCCCAGCCGGGCCAGCCGCGCTCCTGACTCTCCCCTGCTCCTCCCCTGCTCAGTGCCCTCATCTGGCCCCGCCAACGTGTCCGCGCTGGCCACCACCTCCAGCAGCATGCTGGTCCGCTGGACCGAGATCCCCGAGGCCGACCGCAACGGGCTCATCCTGGGCTACAAGGTGAGCCTCAGCCCCTGGTGCCTCCCAGCACCGGTCCCGGGAGCCCAGCTCTGCACAGCGCCGGGGCTGTGGCACCCCTACCCCGCAGGGGAGCTGACGCAGGGCTCCTCGCAGGTCGTGTACAAGGAGAAGGACTCGGACCTGCGTGCCCGGTTCTGGCTGGCGGAAGGGAACGCGTCGCGCAGCGCCCAGCTCGCGGGGCTGGGCAAGTACGTGCTGTACGAGATCCGCGTGCTGGCTTTCACCCGCATCGGCGACGGCGTCCCCAGCCACCCGCCCATCCTGGAGAGGACGCTGGATGACGGTAGGCGTGTGCCGGGGGGCGGAGTCCGGGTCTGGCGTGGTGGGAGCACCGTGCCAGGACACACGTGTGCCAAGCGTGTGCCTGCCTGTGCATCCCAAAGGCCCCATCTGTCATGCTCCCTCCCCTCTGTTCTGCTGCAGTGCCGGGGCCCCCCGTGGGCATCCTGTTCCCCGAAGTGCGCACCACCTCCGTGCGGCTCATCTGGCAGCCGCCCGCAGCGCCCAACGGCATCATCCTCGGTAAGCGGCCAAACCTTTCTCCTGCCGGTGCCTCCTCCGTGCTGCCCCGTGCACCAGAGCTCTGGACGAGAGGGTCCCTATTTGCTGGGGCTCAGCACCTTGCACGGGACTTGCTGCGAGTGTGAGCATGGGCTGGGGCAGGAGGGACCCACCCAGGGAGGGGCTCCCCAGCTTGCCCCTGGGGTGAGGGCTGAAAGGTCACCCCCCATCCGCAGCCTACCAGATCACCCACCGCCTGAACACCACCAATGCCAACACGGCCGCCGTGGAGGTGCTGAACCCCAGCGCCCGGCAGTATACAGCCATGGGGCTGCGCCCCGAGTCCACCTACCTCTTCCGCATCACGGCCCAGACCCGCAAGGGTTGGGGAGAGGCTGCCGAGGCGCTGGTAGTGACCACCGAGAAGAGAGGTGAGCGGCTGGGTCTGGGGTGGGGGTTAGGGTTAGGAGGGAGCTGGGCCGCTCACATCTCTGCCCCCCCGCCCAGACCGCCCACAGCCCCCCAGCAAGCCGGCGGTGCCGCAGGAGGAGGTGAAGGCGCGCAGCGTGCTGCTGTCCTGGGAGCCGGGCAGCGACGGGCTGTCGCCGGTGCGGTACTACACGGTGCAGACGCGCGAGCTGCCGGCCGGCGAGTGGAGCTTGCACTCCGCCTCCATCAGCCACAACACCACCTCCTTCGTGGTGGACAGGTGAGGCCAGGCAGGGCTCCCAGGATGGGCGAGGGCCATGGCCGGTGCCGTGGGCTCCGGTCCCAGTCCCCCCGTGTGCTTGCGGCGCAGGTTGAAGCCCTTCACCTCCTACAAGTTCCGGGTCAAGGCAACGAACGACATCGGCGACAGCGCGTACAGCGAGGCGTCCGAGTCGCTCACCACGCTGCAGGCAGGTCAGTGCCCCCCAGGAGTGGAGGCTGAACCCCGGGATCAGCTAGCACCCGTTGGGTGGGTCGCACAGAGACGCTCCCATCTGGGATTGCATGCACGCGTGAGCTCACCCCCACCACGGGCATCACGGGTTGCAGCCACTCCCGTGGGTGGGATTTGAACCTGGCACCCCGGACCACGGGGGAGCCCCGGGCAGCTCCCGTCTCCTGCTGCCTCTCACACGTGTTCGTCCCCCTGCAGCCCCGGAGGAGGCCCCCGCCATCCTGTCGGTCACCCCTCACACCACCACCTCCGTCCTCCTCCGCTGGCAGGTACGGGCGCGTGGGCCTTCAGGGCCGTGGGTTCGAAAGGTGCAGGGATTGCTGAGCCCTTGTGCACCCACTGGGGCTCTGGGCAATGCTGGCAGGCCCTCCTGGGCTGCAGACAGACTGGAGCCTGGGGGCAGGACCACCCTGCAGCACCATGCCTGGGGTGTGCAGGCCCTGCCTCTCAGCCCCACTCTCTTCCCTGCAGCCCCCGGCCGAAGACAAAATCAACGGGATCCTGCTGGGCTTCCGGCTCCGCTACCGGGAGCTGGCGTACGACGGGCTGCGGGGCTTCACCTTGCGCAGCATCGGCAACCCCGGTGCCCGCTGGACCGAGCTCACCCGTGAGTGCCCATGGCGGTGCTAGGAGGCGTGCAAGGGTCCGGCCTCCCCACTTGCTTGCCTGCACCCCAGCAGCATTGCCCGAGTGTGTGTGTCCAGATGTGTCCCACGCTTGCTTTGCTGCTTTCATGCCCCCTGTTTCCAGGACCTGCGTCCTCTCCCGGCTTGTGCACAGAGGAGCCCTGCCGTGGCTGTGCCATGGCTGTGGCTAGCCTTGCCTTGCTCCGGGTGCAATGGGAGTGGGCACCTACTCCTGATGTGCGTGCAGGTCCTGCCAGGACACGCTCCCCGGCCCTCTGTTTCCCCCCAGCAGCCTCCATGCAACATCCTCCCCGAGCCACTAACCAGTGGTCCTGCTCTGGGCAGCGACTCCCCCCGCCGGGACCCAGCTCCGCGGCGTGTCTGCGTGCGTGTCACTAACTTCGGTGTCTGCTCTCCCCTGCCCCTGGCCCCCACTCCCCTTTAGCCGTGTACGCCGTGCGAAACCTCAGCGATGCCAGCCTCACACAGTACGAGCTGGACAGTAAGTCCCTCTGCTTCGTGCATGCATCTGCCTGGGTCTGCATGCCCCTCTCCACCCCCCGGGGCCTGGGGATGCTCTTGGGGGAATGCACCCCCCTGCCAGGCTGGGGACCCAGCCAGTGCCCCCCAAACTGAGGGAGGGTCACAAGCGTGATATCGCCATCAGCATTTGTGCCCATGCCTGAGCCCGCCGGGGCCGGGAGGCCCCATTAAGATGGCATTTCCCTTGTGGTCGGCACCTTCTTTTTTTCTAGCTGAGCAGCCGGGAACCAAGCATGTCTTGGGGGGAAAGAGAGAGGTTTAGAAAGCGGGCAGGGGAGTTGGAGTTATTGAGGGGTACATTGAACCCCTCCCTGGCACCCCCATCCTCTCCCCTCGCCCTCCACAGACCTGAGCAAGCACCGGCGCTACGAGCTGCGCATGAGCGTGTACAATGCCGTGGGCGAGGGACCCCCCAGTGCCCCCCAGGAGGTCTTCGTGGGCGAAGCGGGTGAGTCGGGCCGTGGGGATGGGTCGGGAGCACCCTGCAAAGGGAGCAGCCCCCCCAGCTAGCAGCCTGGCTCGCAGGCAGGGAGCCCCTCTCCCATCACGGGGCAGGTGGGCACCCGGGGCTGGTGCACGGCAGCAGCCGAAGGGACCCCCGGGGACGGTGCGGGTCTGCCAGGCTGGGGCAGGGACACCGCTGGGGCCTGCCGCTCTCACCATAGCGCCGCACTGTCCCTCTGCCTAGTGCCCACGGCGGCACCGCAAAACGTGGCCGTGCAAGCCACCACCGCCACGCAGCTCGACGTCACCTGGGAGCCGCCACCTCCCGAGGCGCAGAACGGCGACATCCAGGGCTATAAGGTATACGGGGGGGGCAGCCTGGCTGACCTGCATGGGGGTGGCGGTCAGCTGGACACCAGACTCCTGCCCATGCCAGGCTCCTGCCCCAGCCACGTTGCTGGCCACAGGCTCCCTGGCTGGTGCACGGGGCATGAGGCTTGGGGCCGGGAGGGGGAAGGCGTCCCGAACTGCTGGAGCACTGCTCAGGTCAGCGTCCCGGGTGCAACTCCCCGTTGCGGCAGCAGGGGGTGCTGCTGCCCGTCGAACGGCTCCGGGCTCCTACAGGGTGGCAGAGCTGGGGCATTTTTGGGGTAGGGACCTTGCCGCACGGATGCTGGTACCCCACAGTAGGTCGCATCTGTGCCCTGCCGAAAGCCGGGGGCAGGAGCCTCCTTTGGGGACCGTAAATAGAAACGTCCCTGTCCAGAGCTCCTGCAGCAGTGGCGGGGCAGCGAAGGGGCCGTGAGCAGGAGCACGTGGCCCTGGGACCGGGGCTTGTGCCCCGCCAGCCCTCACGGCCCCGCCGGCCCCGCAGATCTACTTCTGGGAGGCGCAGCGGGCGAACGAGACGGAGCGGGTGAAGACGCTGTTCCTGCCCGAGAGCGGCGTGAAGTTGAAGAACCTCACGGGCTACACGGCGTACCTGGTCAGCGTGGCCGCCTTCAACGCCGCCGGCGACGGGCCCCGCAGCCCCCCAGCCAAGGCCCGCACCCAGCAAGCAGGTGGGCCCTTGGCGCCTGCCCTCCCCTCTCCCCAGCTCCCTGCCACTGCCTGGCTGTGGCACTGGGACTCCCGTCTCTCTGGTCCTCTCACCTGGTGCCCTCCCTGCCCAGATCAGAGCCCCAGGGCTGGGCTTAGGTCAGCCCCTCGCATGCCACCCCCATCTCCCTAGCCCATGGTGCATGGAGCTGCTGGCACCCTCTACCCAGATCCCGACGCTAGGCATGGCATGAAAGACAGTTACAGCCACGCTCAGAGTTGCTGGAGCTGCCCAGATGTCCCCCGTGGCTCCCCCAGCACAAGCTGCCCATCTTCACTCGGGCTCAGGGCCCTTGGTGCCCACTGGCTTCATTCATTCCCCTCCTCCCCCCCGGCGGGGTGAAGCACAGGCAGGAAGCAGCATTTCTGCAAAATAACCCACCAGTGCAAAGTGTCTTTGCAGGGCAGTTGTTGGCGAGGGAAGCGGAGACACGAACCCAGCTGGCCGGAGTGTCACCTTAGGGCATGGAGCTGGGGCGGGATGGGGGTTGGCTTCTGACAAGGAACAGCCACGTGGGTCTGCCCTGCCGTGTTTGGGAGCTGAGGTGAGGTCTGGCCTGCGTGGCTCCTTCGCTGCTGTGATGAACTGGGAGGGCTCTGCACCCTCTCCTCCCAGCACTGCTCGGCAGCATGCGGCAGCGGGGCTCGGGACCCCACCAGTGCAGAGGGATCACCATGCAAGCACACATTCACACCCACATATGCATGCACATGCATGCATACATGTACACACACACCCCATGCGTGCATGCACACGTGCACACTCACCTATGAAACTATGAAACTGTACACGCCCCTGTGCACACACTTGCACATCCCCGTGCACACACAGACATGCACACGTGCACGCATGTGCATGCACACCTATTCATGCCACGCACATATGCACATCCTGTGCACACATACACATGCACACATACACCTGTGCATGTGCACACTCCCATGTATACACATATGTACATGTGCACACCCCCAGTGCGCACATACAGGCACAAACCAATGCATGTACACACCGACGTGCACATATGTGCACGCATGCACACACACATATACATGCATTCACACATGCCACGCCACCCTCCCTTTCCTCTGGGATTTCCAAGCTGATCAGAAGCTGGGCTCGTCCCTCCTCAGAGTAGCTCTCGGCCAAGGGTGGAGGACGAGCTCTGAGCCTGCGGCCAAGCCCTCCCCTCTCTGCCTGCAGCCCCCAGCGCCCCCAGCGCCATCAGGTTCAGCGAGCTGACCACCACCTCAGTGAACGTCTCCTGGGAGCCGCCCCTGCTCCCCAACGGCATCCTGGAGGGCTACCGGCTGGTCTATGAGCCCTGCATGCCCGTGGACGGTAAGGGTCTGGGGGCGTTGCTGGGGGTGTGCTGGGGCAGAGCTGTTCCCTGTGGGGTGGTGGAGAAGGAGGAGACTGGGGTACAGGCTGGCGCGCTGGGCAAGCTGAACTACCGCTGTGGCACTCACCATGAGATGGGGGTCTCTTGGCCACGTCCTCTCGTGCAGCCCCTGGCCAGTCCCCCCGGGCTTCCAGCTCTATGCAGGGCCCTTCTCACACCCTCCAGAGCGAGCGTGTTTGCTCCGAGCTCCCTGCGGTCCTCCCCAGAAGTGGCTGCAGGGACAGGGAGTGTCCCAGAGGCCGGTTTAATAAGCGCATGGCCCGGTGGGCCGGCACAGCGGGGAGATGGCCAGTACCAGCCTCGGGCTTTTGCGGAAATGTGGTTCCTCCCCTTTTCTGCCCCAGGTCTCTCCCTGCTGCCAGCATCGGGGCTGCGGGGAAGACTATTTCAGCCCCTATGGGAAGAAAAATCATCGTGGCATAGAAAGGCCCTTGCCTGCCGACCCAGCCACTGCGGAGGGATCGGGGCACAGCTGCCCGGGGCTCTGTAGCTTCCTCTCCTCCCTGCAGTCCCGCCGGCCCTGGGGAAGGAGCAGAGGGCACCTGTGGGGCGGCCAGAGGGACAGTGGCACAAACAGTGCTGGCCACGGCCACCTGTGCCTGGCAGTGGTGGTCCAGGAGAGCTGGGAGAGGAGCCAAGGCCATGGGGTGGGGGGCAGGAGCAGGGGTCTCTTGTCTCCTTTGAGCCTGTGCTGCAAAGGACGCTTTGATCCTTCAAACCGGGCTCCCTGCCTGCAGCGCAGCGGGAATTGGGGTGCTGCCAGAGCAGTGTCAGGCTTTCGGGAGTGTGTCCACACCCAGGGTCAGGACCTAGCCTGATAATCCACTGCGGGCTCAGAGCTTCCCGACACTGATACCATCTCCCTGCCCAGCCAGCCAGCTAGCGCTGCCCGGGGGCAGGCAGGGGAGACAAAGCGGCATCCTTAGAAATAGGTAGGTCCAACCAAGTGAAAGTTGAGGGCTGCCTGCAGCAATCCCAGGCGGTCTCCCTTCTCACTGCTAGCCAGCCCCAAATGCATTCAGTCTAGACCAGCCATAGGAACCAGGTCAACCCCATGCATTCCTTTGACCTCAGCCTAATAACAGATGTTTGTGCCCGAAAGCTTGCAAAGAATTTCCCCACCTATTTTAGTTGGTGTAATAAGAGATATTGGATTTACCCGAAGATCCTTGTCTGCCTGTGTCCTCAGATCAATGCAGCTACAACCTACACCCCAGGTCAACTCGATGCATTTCTATTGCCTGTAGTCTGGGGAGCCCCAGCTGGGCACCAGGTCAACCCAGTGCATTACTGTGGCAGCTTCACCTGTAGTCTGAGGTGAACCAGGTCACCAGGTCAACCCAGTGTGTTTCTCCGGCAGGCTGACTGGTCAGCCTGTAGTCTGGAGGTCTGCAGCCAGGCACCAAGTCAGCCCCTATATTCCTGGCAAGGGCATGGGACAGAGGGGAGGGCATAAGCGTGGTGCTGGCACACGGGTTCCTGTCTGTGACGTCCCCACATGCTCTGCCCAGCAGGCGTCAGCAAGATCGTGACGGTGGATGTGAAGGGGAGCAGCCCGCTGTGGATGAAGGTGAAGGACCTGGCAGAAGGTGTCACCTACCGGTTCCGGATCCGGGCAAAAACCTTTGCCTACGGGCCCGAGATCGAGGCCAACATCACCACGGGGCCGGGCGAAGGTATGTCAGGTCCCTGCAAGAACTGGCTTGGGGGTGCCCAGAGGCAAAGCGCTTGCCCACAGGCCCCAGTGGGTGAGGAGCCGGGGAAGGTCCGGGGTGGGTAGGCTGTCGGGGCTGGGTATGTGGGAATACAAAGAGAGGAAACCAGTATGAAGGGAATTCGTGTCTGCTCTGCTTTTCCAGGCGCCCCCGGGCCCCCGGGAGAGCCCTTCATCTCCCGCTACGGCTCAGCCATCACCATCCACTGGTCCAGCGGGGACCCCGGCAAGGGACCCATCACCAGATACGTCATAGAGGCCCGGCCCTCAGGTACCGCGGTGCCCTCCACCTCCCCCATGTCCAGGCTTGTGACCGCAGCCCAGCGAGGCCGCAGAGGCATGGTGAAATCACCCTGGTGTGCAGGATAGGAGGCCTCTGCTCTGTGCATCGACCCAGGTGGCTGGACGTGAGGTCCCATCTCACGGAGGGGGATGGAAAGGGCTCGCGGGCAGCTAGGCACCGTTTGGAGCAACTCCGGTCAGTGCCTCCCAGTGCAGCCAGCAAAGGGGCCGGAGCACCAGGAGCCAGCCACGGGTCTAGCACACGGCAGCTTGCTGGGCCCTGGGCACCAGCATCCGGAGATGGATGTGACCCATGCGCAGAGCGGGGCAGGTGCAGGGCAATGACTCACCCGCACACGTGGAGACGGCTGCTCTGCGAGGCCACTGGCTGCCGTGTGCCCCCGGCATGAGGGTGTGGGGGCGCAGCAGATGGCCGGGGGCTGGATCCCCCCCAGCTCCTTTGTGCTGCCTGTCTGCTGCCTGCATCCCTCCGCCGGACACGGGGACAGAGGCCGGCGTTGCAGTGAGGGGAGGTTCAGCTGAAGAGTCAAGCGGGGGAGAAGCTGCCGGAGCCCAACGAGGCTGAGCCAGGGCGATGAGGCTGCACTGGCCTGCCTGTCCCCGCTGTGATTTGTGGTGGCTGGATCCAGGCAGCCCTGCCTGTGTTTGCAGCCGCACAGGCACCTGGCTTGGTTCGAGCACCCTGCTGGGAGCAATCTGTGCCACGGGGGCTTGCACACTGGGTTTGCGGCGCTATCCTGCTGCCTGCCCGGGTGCCCAGGGCATCGGGGAGGCAATAGCACGGAGCAGCCCTGCCATTGCATGGGAGGCCTGGCTGCCACGAGCGCTGGCAGGAAGGAGGGCACAGAGCAAGGGCCTGGGTGCCCTGCCAAGTGGCAGCTGCGATGTTAGATGCCCTCTCCCAGCCCGGGTGGCTCTGTCCGACCCCGTGGGCCGGTCCCCTTCCCTGCCGACCCCTGTGTCCTTCCCCCCTGCCAGATGAGGGGCTGTGGGACATCCTCATCAAGGACATCCCGAAGGAGGTGACCTCCTACACCTTCAGCTTGGACATCCTGAAGCAGGGCGTCAGCTACGACTTCCGTGTCATCGCTGTGAACGACTACGGATACGGCACCCCCAGCGTGCCCTCCCCGGCCGTGTCAGGTACCCACTTGGCTGTGGGGGCAGGACGTAAGGGCCCCACCTGGCTGGGGGCACCTGCCCTCCACACCTCCTGCCCCTTTGCCAGCCCGGCTTGGCTTGACACACAGCACAGCTTTTGCAATGCCCCTTACTCCCAAACCGCTTTCCCAGTTGAAGCAGGCCCCTGGGGAGGAGGTGGGGGGAGAACTTATCTGGGCAGGGGGAAATCCCCACCCCAAAGCAGGACCAGCTGGCTAGGGAAAGTCCTGGGGTGGGGTGGGGGATCCCGGTCTGACCTCCCCGCACGGTGCCCCCGGCTATTCCAGCTCAGAAAGCCAACCCCTTCTACGAGGAGTGGTGGTTCCTGGTGGTCATTGCCTTGGTCGGGCTCATCTTCATCCTCCTGCTGGTCTTCGTCCTCATCATCCGGGGGCAGAGCAAGAAGTACGCCAAGAAGTCGGACTCCGGTGAGTGAGCCGGACTCCCGGCCCTCTCCCCTGCCCCTCCCGAGCCCTGGCACGCGGAGGGGAGAGAGCATGAGACGCACCCCTGGACTTCCTCATGTCCCTTGGAGCTACCCATGAAGCAGCCGGCTTCTCCCCTTGCCTGTTGCCAGGGGCTGGAAAGGTCACTGGGATGAAACAGGGTGGCTCTGTTTTCTTAGCCACATCCAGGGCTCAGATGGTGGGTAAATCACCGGGCTCCCTGCTCAATAAACACGCTCGCCGGGTGGGCAGCAAGGGAGGGGGCTGCCTCTGCAGCCTGTATGCAGACAGGGGAGGGTTCATGCCAGCCGGTCCCTCCAACGCCATCCTCCCCCGGCTCCAGGCAGCAACCCCAAGTCGGCCGCCCTGAGCCACGGGGAGATGGTGAGCCTGGACGAGGGCAGCTTCCCTGCCCTGGAGCTCAACAATCGGCGTCTCTCGGTCAAGAACTCCTTCTGCAGGAAGAACGGCATCTACACCAGGTACCGGCCTCCTCCCGGGGCTGGGAATAAGGGGGCAGCACGGCCTGAGCTGTGCATGCTGCCCTGCACCTACGGGTCATCCCAGTGCCCCGAGTTCGAGCGTCGTGCTGGCCTGGGAGCGGACACGGTGCCGTCTCTACCAAAACGCAGCTGGGGGGAATCCTTTCTCAGCTATTTCCTGCCCCCTTCCCAAGCCACTGTCCCTTCTCCGGGGCAGGCCAAGACCCCCCACCCCGCCCCTCGTCTAATGCAGACGGAGAGCCAAGAGCCCCCAAGACTTGCCAGCTTCTCTTCCTCGCGTCCCCTCTTAGCATTCACATCTCATCCCGGCAAGGTCAGGCCTGCGGAGCTGGATCCGCTCCACGCCTGGAGGAACAATGGCTTCTCTGTGCTCCAGGTTGCATGTCTGCTGGGGGGGCTGCCACAGGGGGTCCTTGCTCCTCAGCCCCTCCACTCCCTCCTGGGGCAGGAGCTGAGCCCCGCACCCTGGAAGACCAGGGCAGTCGGTGCATGGGAGATGGGGGTGAAGCAGGTCCCGGCAAGCAAAGGGGAGGCTGTGAATCTCTCAGCCGGGGGACACGGGGTCTGGGTACGGGTGCCCTGCCAATGGTGTTATCTCCCAAGCCCGTTGCACAGGCTAGGCCCCGTGTTGGGCACATGGCAAGGAGCAGGGCCAGGGGATCTCCAAGCAGCACTGAGCATGCATCTCTCCCGAGGTCCCCGCCGCGGCCCAGCCCCGGCAGCCTGCACTACTCCGACGAGGACGTCACCAAGTACAACGACCTTATCCCGGCCGAGAGCAGCAGCCTGACCGAGAAGCCCTCCGAAATCTCGGACTCTCAGGTGAGCTGGGGGCAGCTCCGGCACCCTGGTCCCAGAGGCCCTGCTCCATGCCCTTCTCCCTCTGGTGCTGCCACCGTGAGCCAGGAGCTTGCTCCAGCGCACGCTAGCAAGGCAGGAGAGGTGCTGTTCCCCCACCCTGGGTGGGACCCCCTGCCAGGGGGGCAGTGCCAGGCTTCGGGGGTGCAAAGCTAGCAGAGGGAGCAATGCAAAGTCTCCTTTCTCTTTCGTCCCTCGCTGGCTTGTGCTGCTCTGTGGACAAGAGCTGGCTCTGCAGACAGATGGGCAGGGAGGGCTTGAACACACGTGCCCGTGCCCGTGCCCATGCCAGCGGGACTCTGCTTCGGGGTGGGAGATTCGCCCAGCCTGGTTGCTAATGAGAGAGAGAGGCGATTGTGATGGGCATCGACTGGCGGCTCCTTGGGCCTGGGGCAATAGTCCCACCCTCCTGCCCCCAGAGGGGCTGCTTCCCGGGGAGCACATCTGTCCCAAAAGCCCAGCCTGGTAAACACAGCAGCGCCTGGCCAAGGTGCATAGCGGACCACGCAGAGGGGGCTCAGGGGAGCAGAGAGGAGTCTCCTGCTCTTTTGAGTGAGGCCTGGGCTGCAGGAGTCTGAGAGAGGGAGGGAAGCGCAGGCTGGGATCAGGTTTAATTGGGCTGGGGGCTGCCAGGGGCTCAATGCATGCAGGGACGCGGACCCCAGGCCCAGTCCCATGGGCCAGGGTCTGGCTTCTCCCTGCCTCTTCCAGGCAGGTCACACCAGGACACCGGGAATTCGATCCCGGCTCCCGCTGGGTGCCGCAGCCTCTGCTACTGCATGCACCACCGGCCGCAGCCCCGCTCGCTCGCCCGTCGCCCACCTGCCGTCGGAGCAGGGGAGCCACGGACCCCTCTCCCTGCAGATTCCCAGCCCCCTCGCTGCTCTCCGCGGCCAGCGAGCGTTTCCTTTGCCATCTCGCTGGCCGCGCTTCCAAGTGCATCTCCCCTTTCCATTATCGCCGGTGGAGTGTCTTTGAGGAGCTGTTAAGAGCTGCGAGAGCTGAAAGCTGTCACTTGATTGCTTTCCTGGCTGCGCCGCGCGGCCTCATGAATGGGGCCCTTTGTGCTGTCGGCGGAGGGGGAAGCTGAATTCAATTATGGCAGGCAGAGGGAGGACTGAAAGGAGGGCCCCGAGCCAAGCCGGCCTCCCGAGCTCTCTGTTCTCCCTCGTCCTCCTTCTTCTCTGCCCTCAAAGACAAACACTGCCCCCCCCAGCTGTTCCCAGGCCCCGCGCTGAGCCCCGGGCCGCCGGCTCAGACAGGGGCCAGGATGCTGCGGCGGCTCGGAGCAGCCACCCGTGTCTGAGCTGGAAAGACCACGGGCCCATCTGGTTCCAGCGGCTGCGGTGGGTGGGGAAGAAACGGCCCTTGTTCTCCCAGGCCCCAGGTCTTCTGCTTTGTTTTTAAGCCCTATTAAAGGCATTTGGAGATTTCTGCGCTGGAGCAGACCCCCGGTCCCCCTCGCCCTGCATCCTGTCTCTGCAGCTGGAGGCGCTGGAAGCACTTCCAAGCTCTCCCTGCGCCCGGCCAGTTGCGCTGTGTGATCCCTGGGGACAAGGGCACAGGGGGCACGTGTGACAGCGCGTGGACCCC